GGCCGAGGCGCCGCCGCCGCCCGCCAGGTGAGTCTGTACCCCGCGGCCCCGCCGAAGGAACCCTCCCCACCCCTCAGGGAACCTGATCTCCACCCCCCAGGTGAGCCACGGTCCCCGCCCCCCAAGTGCGGTTCGACCCCCCAAAGTGCGGCCTACTGGACCTGGCTCCCCAGCTTCTGGCGCCCCGCCCTAGGCTCAGGGCCACCTGTTGCCACACAGCCCCAGTAGGGGAGGGAAAGGCCTCGACTTGGGATAAGGACAGGTACTGCTCCCCTGACCGGAGCAGCTTTGAACCCTCCCATCAGCCAGGCCAGGTCAGACTCTTTTTATCCCCATAATAAGGATGAGGACACTGAGGCCCAGAAAGGTAAAGACACCTGGCCAAGGTCATGGGGATTAACAGGTTGGCCAGAGCTAAGTGCCAATCCAGAGCTGCTGCCATGAGCCCACAGGACTGTGGCTGGGTCCCTTCTGCTCTCCCATCTCCTCTGCCCCAGGCACCCGAGAGTTTGATTTTTCTCAGCTTTGATGGAAGGAACCCAGACCATTCATTGCTTAGTACCCAGGTGTTAGAGTCTGGCCAACCTGAAGTTCCTTCCTAACCCCTGCACATTGGATACTTGGCCTCACAGCTCTCAGCCTCAGTTTCCTTGTCTGTAAAATGGAGGCCCTAAGAGTCCCTGTGTCATAGGACAGGTGTGAAAATTCATTGGAATAGTTTATGGTAAGTGCTAGAACATAGCACTCAGTAAATATTATTGTCATTGTTCATAGTATTAGAAGGAGCCATACATAATTGCCAATATTGGGTCATTTTTGATCCACAGAAAGGGCAATTTTGTATAGTTCATCCTAATATTATCATGTCATGATGGGCCATTAACCAGGATAGGATAGGCTAGGATAGGAAAATGGTCTGTTACATAGCAAAGACCCCAATAGGATAGGAAAGGAAAGGATAGGAAAATGGTCTGTTACATAGCAAAGACCCCACTTTCAAAGTCATGTTACTGTCAGGGCTTCTATTTACTTTTTTTTTTTTAATCCTCATCCGAGGGTATTTTTCCACTGATTTTTAGAGAGAGTGGAAGAGAGAGGGAAAGACAGAGAGAAATATCAGTGTGAGAGAAACACATCGATTGGTTGCCTCCTGCATGAGCCCTAACCAGGGCCCGGGTAGGGAGGAGCCTGCAACCAAGGTACGTGCCCTTGACCAAAATCGAACCCGGAACCTTTCGGTCCGCAGGCCGATGCTCTAGCCACTGAGCCAAACCAGCTAGGGCAGGGCTTTAGGCCAGGGCTTCCTGCATGACCCCCTCTGCTGAGGATGCTGGAAGGAAAAGCCCAGGTGTGCAGATGGCTGTGCTTTGGGCAGGGTGTGAGGCCTGTTTTCCCTACTGATTTCTGCAAGCAGCGAATCATGGGTGTGGACTCGGAGCAGGGAACTGGGTCTCTCCGCTTGCCCTTTGCCCCATGTTGATCTCTGCCAGGGGGCCTGGCCATCTTGAGACACCTGTTGCATTCTGGGCCTGTTCCAGACTTCTGACACTCCCCAGGGAAATGGCTTTTGCCACAAGGCCTGGGCTCCCTTCCTCCCAAGGGGACCCTGGGTCAATCATGGCTAGGTGTGGTGCATCCCAAGGTCTGACTGGACTCTTTTCTGTTCCCACAGCTGGGTCTGCTGGTTGATCTCTCCCCGGATGGCCTGATGATCCCTGAGGATGGAGTTAACCATGAGGAACTGGAGGCTGAGTTCTTGGCTTTGGTTGGGGGCCAGCCTCAAACCCTGGAGAAGCTCCGAGGCAAAGGTGAGGCTCTCAGTCCATCCCTGGAACATTTACCGAGCTCCACTGTGGGCAGGCTCAGAGATGGGTGCTGGGAAGATGGGGAAAGGAGACAGAGTAGGTCCCTGCCCTCCTGAAACCCACAGGTCTGGGTTAAAGGTTAAGCTACCAACTCTGTACCCAGAGTGAGGGTTCAATCCTAGCTCAGCCACTTAATGGCTGTGACTTCATGAGTCCCAGCACCTGTGTGGGCCTCAGTTTCCCCATTTATAAAATGGGAATAAACCTCACTTACAGGAATTAATCATCTAGTGTTCTTAAAGCACTTAACACAGGTCCTGGTGAGTCGTCCAACCCACTGTCCTGTGGTTGGGGCTGCTATGGGGGAAGCACAGAGCATTGGAAGACACCTATGAGCTGGGAGGGGATTCTTGGAGGAGGCACGCATAATGGGGAGGGCCACTTGAAGAGGTGGGGAGCACTTCTGGGAGGAGTCACAGCACATGCAAATGCCCTGGGGGAGATGGTATTGGGCAGAGGATTCTAAAGTGGTCCAGTGGGGCTGGAGCCCAGACAGCAGACATAGCCTTTACACTTTTTAGCTAATACAATTGATCCTCATTATCATAAATTCTGTAATTGTGAATTCATCTACTGGCTAATTCTTGGACATACACAGAGCCACAAAAAGTTTGAGTCACCCAACTTGCCCAGTGTCCCACAGTGAGAAAGTTCCAGAGCCAGAGTTTGAACTCAGGCTTCATAAGGAAGGGATAAGGCCAGTGAGGTCTCTGGGGAGCGGGATTGTGCCGGCTGGATCTAGAGCAGTGGGTGCCATGGAAGTGCCAGTAGGGAGACATGCTGCCCCATTGCCTGCTACCCTATTCTCCGGGGCCCTGGGTGTCTGGGATGGGAGACTGGGGACTCTTGAAGGATCCCGGTCCACCTGGCGCCTCCCCCTGCTGCCAGGTCCCTTGCCCATGGAGGCCATTGAGAAGATGGCCAGCTTGTGCATGAGAGACCCGGATGATGATGAGGAGGAGGTGACAGACGAGGAGGATGTGGAAGCTGATGATGACCTGCTGGTGAGTGTCCAGAGTGGGGCAGGAGGGTTCCTCCCATTCTTGCCCCATCCATTGGGCCCCCATGCAAGCCTCTGGCCTTGTGTCCCTGCAGGCGGAACTTAATGAGGTCCTTGGGGAGGAGCAGAAGACTTCGGAGTCCCACCCTCCTGTGGCCCAGGTATATCTCTGACAACTCTGTTCCCTATAGCCCGGGGTTCAAGGCTTTCCCTTGAACCTCTTAGCCATGTGACCTCAGGCAGATAATGGGACACTTCTGAGCCCCAGTTCTCTATACTAGGAAAGGGTATGATCATTTCTGTCCCTCCCCGGTGGGGGCAACTGGCCCAGGGGTGACATGGCTGGTGTGCAGTAGGCCCTCAACCAAGGACACCTTCAGGGTGGGCCGAGTTGGGTCACCACCCACCCACGCCATGCCCCTGGCCCCTCCCACAGCCAAAAGCCACAGCCCCCAGCCCAGGGTTGGAGGCCACCTTGCAGGAGAGGCTGGCCCTCTACCAGACAGCGATTGAAAGTGCTAGGCAAGCCGGAGACAGTGCCAAGGTGCGGCGCTATGAGCGGGGACTTAAGGTGAGTGGGCAGACAGGAGGGTGCTGGGACCCCACCACCGCCCCTGCACTCATCTCTGTGCTCTTCCCAAACCCACATTTACACCTTCTTCCAGACACTGGAAAACCTGCTGGCCTCCGTCCGGAAGGGCATTGCCATTGACGAAGAGGACATCCCACCACCCGTTGCTGTGGGGAAGGGCCCAGCAGCCACATCGGGCCACACTCCTGCACCCACCCTGCCAGGCTCTATGAACCTGCCGGCCCCAGAACCCAGGGTCCCAGTGGAGGGTCCTCCTTCCATTGCCCCAGCCTCGTCACTGGGCTTGCCTAAGCCCCAGCTGCCCCCAGGTAGGCTGGGAGCAGGGGTGTTGACATGGGCTGTCGGAGGATATATTCAGTGGTTGGCCCCTCTATGAGGGTTTAGGCCCTGTACTGGTTGTTCGATATTATAAACACTTCTTCCTTTCCGAGGTCTGCATGCCTCTGCAGTTCATGAATACCCTTTTTTCATGTGTGGTGGTAGTAAAATATATATCACATACCATGTGCCATTTTAACCGTAATTCAGTGTAATTAAGTAGCGTTACGCAACCATCACCTCTATTTTCCAAATTTCACTCCAAAACAAAACTCTGTCCCCATTAAACACTAACTCCCCATCTCCTTCTCCCTCCCCCAGCTCCTAGTAACCTCTATTCTTCTGTCTCTATGAATTTGCCTCTTGTAGATATTTCATATAAGTAGAACCATACACTATTTGTCCTTTGCTGTCTGGTTTCTTTCACTCAGGATAACATTGCAGCTTGTATCAGAACTTGATTCCTTTTTAGGGCTGAATAACATTCCCACATACAGAGTTTTAAGTGGATAATTCTCAAGCGCTCAGCTTGTCTGTCTTTTCTACTAAACCTCACCTGGCTGGAGGACGCACCTACCTGCAGGTTTTTCTTCTCAACCTCCCCCTCTGGGGTCGCCCTCCTCTCACTATAGGAAAGGAGTACGCAACCTCTCCCTTCTAGAACCTGAACTCTGGGCTCTGCTCCAGGGGCGAACGCTCCCAGATGGGAACCAATTAGACAGTATAGATTTTATACTATAAAAGGATGGCCTGGGGTTGAGAATGTGAACACGGGGGTCTTTAATTCCTTTAGCGGCCAGGCTGGTCTCTAAGCCATTGTTTTTGGTGAAGGAGGACTATTGGAAATTGTCACCTGGAATTCTTGGTTGAAATCACTCCAAATTTTTCATGATGGGGTTTTTGGCATTTTTCACAGCAGGCGTTCGGAGAATTGTGGTGTGACGTGGCAATAACAAGACTGTCTCTTCCCATCTATTTTTTGGTGTGAAGCAGGTTTCTCTACACTTTAAAAGAGGAAAAAATAAAGTAGGGAAGGAATGAATGGGAATCAGGAGCTAAATGTTAGGAGGTGGACCCAGCCTTTACTGTGTCAGCAAGAGGTACCTTGCCAATAAAATTTTACCCTTGGTTTGTAAAGGTATTTATCAGAAAGCTAGAGGTACTTATACTACGCTCAATTACGTGCTAAATATAATTGTAACAGTAATTCAACCCCAGGAGAAAATTTTTTAATGCCGAGAGAGATTTGCGATAATCAATCAATCAAATATCAAGGTGTTTAGGTTCAACCTGTACACACCTTCTCAGGCGAGTGCCCTCAAACTTAAAGCCCTGAGTCCAGTTGTCAGTATGGAAAAGCACAACGCAGGCAGTTTCCCAGGTGTTTCTAGGATTTGTGGTCACTGGGTGGTGTATCTGTTGTGCTTTGTTTTTTGTTGTTTGTTTTTTTAAATATATTTTTATTTATTTCAGAGAGGAAAGAGAGGGAGAGAGAGAGAGATAGAAACATCAATGATAAGAGAGAATCATCGATCGGCTGCCTCCTGCATGCCCCACAGGGGATCCAGCCTGCAACCTGGGCATGTACCCTGACCAGAATCGAACCGTGACCTCCTGCTTCATAGGTCGACGCTCAACCACTGAGCCACGCCAGCTGGGCTTGTGCTTTGGTTTTTTATACCAACAACTTACCGATTACTTTCAATCTAGAGATACTTCCTCTGAAAACATATACTTCCTCTGAAAACTATTATTTGAAACTAACTAAATTGCTGTTTAAAAAGCAGTTTAGCCCTGGCTGGTTTGGCTTAGTGGATAGAGCCTTGGCCTGTGGACTGAAAGGTCCCGGGTTCGATTCCAGTCAAAGGGCACATGCCTGGGTTGCTGGCTTGATCCCCAGTGGGGGGCGTGCAGGAGGTGGCCCATCAATGATTCTCTCTCATAATTGATGTTTCTATTTCCCCTTCTCCCGTCCTCTCTGAAATCAATGAAAATATATTTTTTTAAAAATAAATAAAAGCAGTTTAGCCCTAACCGGTTTGGCTCAGTGGATAGAGCATCGGCCTGCGGACTCAAGGGTCCCCGGTTCGATTCCGGTCAAGGGCATGTACCTTGGTTTCGGGCACATCACCAGTAGGGAGTGTGCAGGAGGCAGCTGATCGATGTTTCTCTCTCATCGATGTTTCTGACTCTCTATTCCTCTCCCTTCCTGTCTGTAAAAAGTCAATAAAATATATTTAAAAAATAAATAAAATAAAAGTAGTTTAATCCTCTGTTTCCCAACTTTACCAACACACCACATAAGTGTGTTTTGGTTACAAATGTATGATAGGGTGGTCAAAAAAGGCTCTCAAGTCCCCACATAGATAATGTTAGGATTAAATTCTGTGGGGGACGTAGATAGAAAGAAGAGAAGAAGTATGAAATTTCCAACTGCTAAAAGCGAACCCTGGTAAATGTTTTATAAGTAAATGTTGGCATATACTCAAAAGAATTGAGAGCAGAGACATGAAGAGATATTTGCACACCCATGTTCATAGCAGCATGATTAAAAGGTAGAAGCAACCCAAGTGTCTATTGGTAGATGGATGCATAAACAAAACACTATATCTGTACAATGAAGTATTATGCAGCCTTAAAAAGGAAGGACATTCTTGCCCTGGCCAGGTGGCTCGGTTGGTTGGAGTGTCATATCATACACCAAAAGGTGGCAGGTTCGACTCTTGGTCAGGGCACATACCTAGGTTGCAAGTTTGATCCCTGGTTGGGCCACATGGGAGGCAACCGATGGATGTTTCTCTCTCCTTCTCTCCCTATCCCCGCCTCCATCCCCCCTCCCCCCCTTTCACTCTCCCTCTCTCTATAAAAATCAGTAAAAAATATACCCTCGGGTGAGGATTTTAAAAATAAAGTAAAATAAATAAAAAAGAAGGACATGCTGACACATGCTACATTGTGGATGAACCTTTTGGATGTTATGCTGGATGAAATAAGCCAGTCATGTAAGAATAAATACTGTCTGATTCTACTTATGTGAGGAATCAAATTCATAGAGACAGAATGGTGGGTGCCAGGGTTTGGGAGAGGAGGAGTGGGGAGTTAGTGTTTAATGGGGACAGAATTTCACTTTGGAAAGATGGAAATGTTCTGTTCTGTGGATGGATGGTGGTGATGGCTGCACGACAAATGGATGCACTTAATGCCACTGAACTGTATACTTGAAAATGGTTAAGATGGTGGATTTTGCCTTATTTGTATTCTGTCATATTTTTAAAAAATTAAAAAGTGGATATTGATGAGTTCCAAATCACCATAGTACAGTGGTTCTCAACCTTCTGGCCCTTTAAATACAGTTCCTCATGTTGTGACCCAACCATAAAATTATTTTCATTGCTACTTCATAACTGTAATGTTGCTACTGTTATGAAAGGTAATGTAAATATCTGATATGCAGAGTGGTCTTAGACGACCCCTGTGAAAGGGTCGTTCTATCGCCAAAGGGGTCGTGACCCACAGGTTGAGAATTGCTGCCATAGTAGTTAAAATATGTTAGGCTTAAAAGAGTGGTGCAATGCTTTTCTTTTTCGAATGTAAATATTTGCAAGATACTGGGAATGACAACGTTAGCCACTTTTGAAACTTAAGATGAAAAAATTTTAGATGTCAGCTTAAAAATGCTTAACGGTACATAAAATTTTCCCAAAAATTTGGGACACAAAACAGCAATGGCTCTGGAGCCTGCTAGGCCTAAGCTGAGTCCCCACCATGCTGTGTGACCTTGGGGAGACAGCATCCCCTCTCTGAGCCTCAGTTCTCACATTTATAAAATGAGCCTAAGAACAGTTTTGCTGTGAGAATAGAAATGGTCTGTGTGCTCTTCTCCCTGCCAGGTCCCGGCAGCACTGGCCCCCTGGCTCAGTTGCAGAGCCGCCAACGTGAGTACAAGCTGGCCGCCCTTCATGCCAAGCAGCAGGGAGATACCTCCGCTGCCACCAGATACTTCCGTGTGGCCAAGGTGTGTCCAGACTGAATGACAGTCGTATGGAAAGGATGGGATGCTTCCAACATTACATGGTGGCAAAGAACGTGGGCTCTAGAGTCAGACTCACCTAAATTCGAATTCTGGCTTGATCAGTCCCTAGGTGTCATTTGTGGCACCGCTTAAAACCTTGGTTTACCCTTTCTGTGAAATGGTCCTAAGTGTAAGAAGAGGCTTAAGCAAGAAGGGACAAAGGAAGGGGCAGAACTGGGAGTCCTCTGTCATATGGAGGGCATGGAGGCTCCCCACAGGGACCTGGCTCCAGCTCCAGCCTCTCCTGACCCCCTTCCTTCTCACAGAGCTTTGATGCTGTCTTGGAGGCCCTGAGCCGCGGGGAGCCTGTGGATTTGTCCCGCTTGCCCCCTCCACCTGGTAAGGACCCCACCTGCCCACCTTCCAGGACTCTTGGAGGCTTCCACTGACTTCCTGATATTGCCGCCCCTTTTGGTCAGGCTCGGAGACCCGCTCAGGCCACACCAGCCTGGGGGTAGGGGCGGCCACAAGCAAGCCCCTCATTGCACTGGACTTCTCTGCCCCCAGACCAGCTGCCCCAAGACCCACCATCACCGCCACTGCAGCCTCCGGCTCCCACCACGGTGCCGTCCACACCAGGTAGGCTCCTGGGACTTTGGGCGGGCAGGCGGGCCAGGGCAAGACAGTCCTCTTCCTCCCCTTCCAAGACTCTTAACCCTGCCCCCACCCTCATTGGGCCCAGAGGTTCCCCCACCCCCAAGGACTCTCCTGGAAGCACTGGAACAGCGGATGGAGCGATACCACGTGGCCGCAGCCCAGGCTAAGACCAAAGGGGACCAGCGGAAGGCTCGCATGCATGAGCGCATTGTCAAGGTGCATGGGGGCTGAGTGGGTGGGTGGGCAGCACCTGGAGACCGTGCCAAGGGAATCCTAATACCTGTGTCCCCCACAGCAATACCAAGATGCCATTAGAGCCCACAAGGCTGGCCGAGCTGTGGATGTTGCTGAGCTACCAGTGCCCCCAGGTAGGCCCTGCCCCTCCCTCCAGCCTCTGAGCCTTTGCAGGTGCTATTCCTTCTGACTGTACAGGCTCAGGAAGTTGATTGCGACACATTCAGGAATTCTGCAAGCTTCTTAGGCAATTGGTAGCTTAAAATCAGTATAGTTGGCGTGTTTACACCTTGGAACTTGGCCAACACTAAAAATCAGGGGGTTTTATTTGAAGAGCCTGTTGGCTAGCCCACTGCTGTCTGATCTTTCCTTTTCTTCTTTGTTTGACTCACTCCTCCCTAGTCATCAGCTCTTCAGCTTTACAGATACCTACTCAGCCTCCCATTAACCCCCCCAGTGAGTTGGAGGCCTCCTTTGGGTTCTCAAAGCTGCCTGTGCATCTCTGCTGAGAGCAATGATCTCTCTGCACTTTGGCCCCCCAGGAGTCCCCCCAGGTCCAGGACCAACCCTTGCACCAAGCACAGCACCTTACAGTGTTGCTTGTTGGAGTCTGGTCAAGGTCCAGGGTCAGGTGAGAGGAACCAAGAGACAAGAGGGAGGTTGACATGGTCTGGTGTCTACACCAAACCACTAGCAGCTCCTTCCTGCATTTAAAGTGCATTCAAAGACCCAAGGCTCCTTTGGATCGGGTGGAACCCACCTCTCCACCATCATGGCACAGGTTTCTCTCTCCTGACCGGGCTCTGACTGGCCGCCCAGGCTTTCTCCCTATCCAGGGCCTAGAGGCCTCCGAGTCCACCCAGCCGAGCCTGGTGGGGGTCCTGGAGACGGCTATGAAGCTGGCCAACCAGGACGAAGGCCCAGAAGACGAAGAGGATGAGGAGCCTAAGAAGGTATGAGGGGCTGGGTTCTTGGGGTGAGGCAGGGAGTGACAGCAAAGTAAATCCTGACAATCCCAATCTTGAGCTAGAACAGCAGTTCTCAACCTGTGGGTCGCGACCCCTTTGGGGGTCGAACGACCCTTTCACAGGGGTCGCCTAAGACCATCGGAAAACACATACATAATTACATATTGTTTTTGTGATTAATCACTATGCTTTCATTATGTTCAATTTGTAACAATGAAAATACATCCTGCATATCAGATATTTACATTACGATTCATAACAGTAGCAAAATTACAGTTATGAAGTAGCAACGAAAATAATTTTATGGTTGGGGGTCACCACAACATGAGGAACTGTATTAAAGGGTCACGGCATTAGGAAGGTTGAGAAAATTATGGTTATGAAGTAGCAACGAAAATAATTTTATGGTTGGGGGTCACCACAACATGAGGAACTGTATTAAAGGGTCTCGGCTTTAGGAAGGTTGAGAACAACTGAGCTGGAAAGAACTGGCCTCGTTTCTTGGCCCCGCCACTTCCTGATCATGTGGCCATGGGCAAGTCATTTTGTTCTCTGGGCCTCAGTCTCCTCTTCTATAAAGTGGGCATAGTCCTAGTCCCTATCTTCCAAAGCTGTTGCAAAGATTCAAGGAGAACAGGACTGTATGTTGTATTTAGTGCTGAGGAAACAGAAATTAAGCTGGTCACTATTGTCAGTGTCAGGCCCTGACTACTTGGGGAGTGGCCTCATCATAGGTGCTGGCAAAGCTCTGACTTTCTCTCTGTCCTCGGCAGCCCAACAGCCCTGCGGCCCCCACAGCCCAGCCCAAAGCCCCACCCTCAAAGGCACCCCAACCAGGATCCACCTCAGCAGCTAAAGCAGCCTCCAAAGGCACATCCAACAGAGGTAGGTGCCCCCTCCCCACCCTGCCTGTCACCGGGCCACAGGCTGGGCAGCACCCGCAGATGCCCCTGTGCCCACAGCTCAGCAGCAGTTGGCCTTCCTGGAGGGCCGAAAAAAGCAGCTTTTGCAGGCTGCATTGCGAGCCAAGCAGAAGAACGACGTGGAGGGAGCCAAGATGCACTTGCGCCAGGCCAAGGGGCTGGAGCCCATGCTGGAGGCCTCACGCAACGGGCTGCCTGTGGATATCACCAAGGTGAAACCTCTGGGCCGGCTAGACCTTCCCAGGTGCTCATCTGTTGGGCTATGGCCAAAAGCAGCCATGTGACTTGGAATATATTAGTCAGGATGCAGATTAAGCTGCTGTAACAAACAGGCTCTTCTTAAGAGACTGGTTAAACAAGACAGATGCTTATGTTTCTTGCATGTAACACTCAGGGTGCTCTGGGCTCTGAAAGATAAAGCCCTTTAGAGCCCAGGTTCTTTCCGTTTTGTTGTTCTGCTGCATCTGAGGAGGTTGTCATTGTACATGTGGTCCAAGTGGACCGCTAATCTGTCTGCATCCAGTCCATGGGAAGTCATGAGGGAGAAAAATTGCAGGCCGAGAAGTTTCCTCTAAAGGAAGTGGCATGGAATTGTCATCACTACTGCTCACCTCCCATTGCCCAGAACTGAGTCACATGGCTGCACCTAGCTGCAAGGGAAGCTGAGACATGTCTCTTGCAGAGCAACCATGTACCCAGTCAGAACTCCATTATTAGGGAAGAGGGTATGGATCAGATTTGGGGGAAGTAGTTAATAGATTCTGCCACTTTGGTCAGGGCCATACACCTCTCTAGCATCACTTTTTTCTCTGGGGAAGAAAGCAGGGGCAGGGGCCAAAGCAGTGGTCAGGGAAGGCCTCTCCAAAAAGGGATTAGGTCAGGCCCCTCTCATGAGCCTTGTCTTTCCCAGGTGCCACCCGCCCCTGTCAACAAGGATGACTTCACCCTGGTCCAGCGGCCTGGCCCTGGTCTGTCTCAGGATTCTATCCGGCGCTATGGTGAACTCACCAAGCTCATAAGGCAGCAGCATGAGGTGAGGGGGCCCCTGGCCTGGGTCAGCAGGGCTCCCCCAGATTCATGGCCCCTCAACCTTCCCTTCACTGTCTTCTGCCTCACCAGATGTGTCTGAACCATTCTAACCAGTTCACTCACCTGGGCAACATTGCCGAAACCAGCAAGTAAGTGCCCCCATGCCCACCTCTGCCTGATGTGTGCACCCCCAGCCTGCCCCTGGGACCAGGGATCTGAGCAGAGCCCTCTTATGGCAGATTTGAGAAACTAGCAGAGGACTGTAAGCGGAGCATGGAGACTCTGAAGCAGGCCTTCGCCCGGGGTCTCCCCACGCCCTCTGCCCGCTTTGAGCAGAGAACCTTCAGCGTCATCAAGTAAGACCCCAATGGCCCCTGGCCCAGATGCCCCTTTGAGGTGGGGTTTGCCCTCCCCAGAAGCCGGTGGAGGACTTGCCTCTGGAGGAGAGTTTGGGTGGGTGGTGGGAGCATAGCACACTCAAGGGTCCTGAGACAGGCATGAGGTGTGAGTGAAGGATGGCAGGTGAGGGGGTGTTAACAGTGACACCCCGTGGAAACAGTGCAGAGGTGTGCCCTGTCAGGGGCCCGTGGGATGGCGGTTGTTGGTCCTGCTTCAGTTAAGTGTTCCCACACCTGGATAGTTGGGGTAATTGCTCCACTTATAGAAGTTAGGTGCAGCCTCTGGGGTAACCTGGGAGAACCACTTAGGAAAATCCATACCGTTTACCCTGGCTTTCCCCCGTCTGCATGGCCTGGTTCCTTGTCACTTCCTTTCTGTCTGTTGTCCCCAGTTGGCTCGCCTCCTGCCACACAGACCTCTTTTTGGTCCCTCAGACACACCAAGCATGTTCCCACGCAGGGCCTTCACCCCAGCGGTGTGCCCTGCCCAGACTCTGTTCCCCATGTAGCATCTCCATGAAGCATCTCTATGCAGCAGCTTCTTGACATTCAGCATCACCTATGATGTCACCTGAGAGGCCCTCCTGACCACCCTGTCTAAAGCAGCCCCTCCTGAGCACATTTCAGTCTTTCCTCTATTTTAATTCTTTGCAGAGTTGCTTTATTTCTTTATTCAGTGGGCATTTTTCCACTCAGTCAGCTCAGGTTCCATGAGCACAGAGATGGGTCTCATTTACTTCTGTATCCCCAGCATCAAGACCAGCGTGATTGCCCTAACTGGTTTGGCTCAGTGAATAGAGTGTCGGCTTGCGGACTGAAGGGTCCCGGGTTCGATTCCAGTCAAGGGCATGTACCTTGGTTGCGGGCACATCCCCAGTACGGGGTGTGCAGGAGGCAGCTGATTGATGTTTCTCTCTCATCGATGTTTCTAACTCTCTATCCCTCTCTCTTCCTCTCTGTGAAAAATCAATAAAATATAATATTTAAAAAAAAAAAAAGACCAGCATGATCAAGAACACAGGCTGGCACATAGTAGGGCCTCCAGAAATATTGTTAAATGAAGGGAACGTCCCCAAGCCATGAGGTCACTGACTGGCACTTAGTAGGTACTCAAGTAATGCCAAATGAAGAGAAGGCCTATAGCAGCTAGGGCACTGGCTGGCACATAGTAGGAGCCTCCTGAAACACTGTTAAATGAAGAGAAGGTGCCACAGCAGTGAGGCCACTGACGTGCAAAGCAGGTACTAAATAAATGTGTGCAAACTAAAGAAAATACCCAAAAGTTAGTCGTTGGCAGAATTGGACAGAGAACTCTAGTTTGTCTAATTCTAAAACTGGAGCTCAGGAGCTGAGACACCCCCAAAGGCAGTGTGGGGTTCCTTACCCGTGCTGAAGGAAAAGGTTGGGGGGCAGTGAGGTTGAGGTTCCTCTGTCTCCCCACCTGCCCTCCTGGAAGGATCTTCCCAGACCTCAGCAGCAATGACATGCTCCTGTTCATCGTGAAGTGCATCAACTTGCCCACACCTCCAGGTGAGGGGGCGCCAGGCAGGGGTCAGGGCTCTGGGGACCACCTCTGCCCAGCTGTGACCTTTGTTTGTCCACAGGGCTGTCCCCTGGTGATCTGGATGTCTTCGTTCGGTTCGATTTCCCCTATCCCAATGTGGTATGTGGAGAGCCAAAGAGAGATGGGCTCGAGCCCCATCAGGATGGGAAGTGGGTTGGGCAGGGGTCCCAGGCCAGGCCCCAGGCCCTGAGCTTGCCTGCCCCTTGACTGGTCCCAGGAAGAAGCTCAGAAAGACAAGACCAGCGTGATCAAGAATACAGACTCCCCTGGTAATTCATGGGCAACAGGTACTCCCTGCCCTCTCCAGAAATAACACGAGACGATAGCTGACCCCTCCCTCCTTCCCTGGGCAGAGTTCAAGGAGCAGTTCAAACTCTGCATCAACCGCGGCCACCGAGGCTTCCGAAGGGCGATCCAGACCAAAGGCATCAAGTTCGAAGTGGTCCATAAGGGGTGAGCTGAGGGGTCAGGCACTGCATGGGCTCTGAGGGAGGGGAAGCTACCCTGGGCCAACCATCCTGTGTCCCCTCACATACACAGGGGCCTGTTCAAGACCGACCGGGTCCTGGGCACAGCCCAGCTGAAGCTGGATGCCTTGGAGACGGCATGTGAGGTCCGGGAGATCCTTGAGGTAAGAGGTGACATTAATGTAATGTTCCATTATGGCCACGTCATCATTAACAGTACTCAGATGCTCCCTGCCCTGAGCCTCCCAAGGGTCCTCTCTGCTGACCCAGCCCCTCCCCTGGGAGTCGAAGACCTCCTTACTCCCAGCCCCTAATACTTCCAGCACCTGTTCCATTATGACCGGCTGGTGTCTCAGTCTCACCCATGGGCTCATATTTTGGAAATCACCTTGGTTCTCCCTGATCCCAGCCCTGGGACTCCAGCCGCTGCCTGCTTCCCAGCAGCCTCCCCTTATGCCCACCCAGGTCCTGGATGGTCGCCGGCCCACAGGGGGGCGGCTAGAAGTGATGGTCCGGATTCGAGAGCCACTGACGGCCCAGCAGTTAGAGACAGTGACTGAGAGATGGCTGGTCATTGACCCCGTGCCAGCAGCTGTGCCCACAGTGAGACCCCCACCCAGCAGCAACCCCAGGGCGGGAGGCTGGGTTCAAGGGGAGCCAAGACTCACAACACTGGTTTTGTCCTCTGAAGCAGGTTGCTGGGCCTAAAGGGAAGGCCCCTCTCATGCCTGCCCCTGCAAGGGAGCCAGGAAACAGGTAGGTGGCTGAGCCAGGCCGTGCTGGAAAGAGCCCCTCTCTTCCCATCTCAGTCCTTCCTGGACAATATCTCATCAGGCACAAATTGGAGCATGTCCTTCCCCCCTTTTAAAACCTTTCCTGGCTCCCTTTCTGGAGGATCCAGTTTAAACTCCTCAGCTTGAGTGTTAAGGTCTTTTTGATCTGACCATTGTGAATACTAGTATATCCAGCCTTCTCTCCCCCACTTCCTCCTGTTGGTTCATGGCTATGCCTAGTTTTCACTGTCCTCTTGGCGTCTATGTTACAATGCCCGGAGCACCTCTACCTCTACACTTGTTCCCTATTCCTCTGCCCAACTCTGACTCCTATGGGTCCCAAATCGGCTGTCACCTCCAGGAAGCCCTCTCTGACTGCCTGGCACAGCCATTGCAGTGGCCTGTGTATACAGTTGCCTGAGTGAACATCATTGCCACTAGGGTGTAGGCTGAGCAACATTGTGGTGGGCCTGACTTGTTTCCTAGTACCCAACGTGTCAAATTAATGGAGTCAGGGATGAGGGGTCCTTGTAGACCCTCATCCCTATCCCCACCCCATAGATCTGCCCGGCCCCTGCATAGCCTTAGCGTGCTGGCCTTCGACCAAGAGCGTCTGGAGCGGAAGGTGAGTGCCCACCCACTGGGCTTGGTGGGGCAGGATTGTGGGGTCTGCAGGCTCAAGCAGGGCCCTCACAGCCCCCTTTGTACCCCATTCTCTCAGATCCTGGCCCTCAGGCAGGCACGGCGGCCAGTGCCCCCGGAGGTGGCCCAGCAGTACCAGGACATCATGCATCGCAGCCAGTGGCAGAGGGCACAGCTGGAGCAGGGGGGCCCAGGCATCCGGCGAGGTGGGGGCTCAGGGACAGGCACAGGGGGGAGGGGCAGTGGCAGTGGCCCCATTCTGACCCCCTCCCACCCTCAGAATACATGGCCCAGCTGGAGCATCAGCTGCAGTTCTACACAGAGGCTGCTCGGCGCCTAGGCAACGAGGGCAGCAGGGTGAGCCGGGTGGAGTTCGGGTGGTCACTGGGGGACTGGGGCTGCCAGGGGCTTCCCACCGACTACCCTTTGGATCCCCAGGAAGCTGCAAAGGAGGCGCTCTACAGGCGGAACCTGGTTGAGAATGAGGTGAGCAGCTCAAGTGTTGGGGTGGGGGTGGGCAGCTGTGGCCATGGCCCCCCTGACCCCTGTGGACTTCTGCAGCTGCAGCGGCTCCGCAGGTGAGGGGCCAACGGGGCTGGCCGCCCTGGAGATCCGGGAGCAGGCTCAGGCCCTGGTGCTGGGAGGAGCTGACATGGCCACGGCTTCCGACCAGACAAGCAGACAATCAGCGGACAATCGGTTCTGGATGGACTCGTCCCCTGCTGGGCCCACCCAGCCTGGCCAGAGCCTCCCTGGCAGGGGGCATCAGGGATGGTGCCTACCAGCCAGCCTGTGCCCCTGGCCTGTTCCAGAGGTGGAAGAGTGGCTAGGACCAAGCCCTGAGAGCCCCTGTAAGCACTTTACTCCCTGTCCCTCCCCAGCCTTAATCCTTAAGCCCTCCCACACCCAAAGAAGCCTCTGAGAGCAGCCAGAACCTGGCTGGCTCCCCACAGGGGTGCCCTGGCCCAGCTAGGCCCCAGGGTTGATACACAGAATAAACAGCCAGGGCCACACCCGGCTCTCCATCTTGCCTTTGTTTCTTGCCCTCCGTGGCCGCTTTGGGTCTTCCCCCCACACACACCTTCCCCAGGGGTAATAGAAGGGAAGGTGCCTGGGAGGCGGAGTGTCCACAAGGGATGTGTTCTTGCATGTGAAAGCCCATGCATCTGTCAGGGGTCTGGCTGCCTGAGGGCGCCTGCCCTACCATGCATTTACTCTTCACGTATAAACCCAGATATGCCCAGTGGCCTTGGGTATATCTGGGTTTAGAGGTGTGGTCAGGCCATACGTGGTAGTGCTTGGTGACCCATGTGGTTCTCAGGGCCTCAGAATCCAGCCCTGCCACTCATTAGCCACGGGACCTGGACCAAATTGCCTGATCCACTTAGCATCCTACAGCCTCAGTTTCCCCCACTGGATATAGGGATGGTGAGAGCCCTTCCTGTCCCACAACGTGAAGGGCACCTGATTGGTGGTGAGTGCTCGAAAGAATTAGGCTTTATTGTTGCTGTCTCCATCTGTGCGGGACCTGGCCAGCAGGGTCACCTGATGTGTGAGCTGCATGCCTCGGTCCCTCCCTCCGTGTGAGGTGCCCCAGCTTCCTGGCCAGCACTGGTCAGGTGGGCTTAGCCCGGAGGCCTGGGAGAGATGGGTTGAGGCCCCAGGTGGGCACTGTCTCCTTAGTCCACAGCCCGGCAGAACCCCTTAGGTCAGGGGCACCCTGCCCGTGGCTGCCGTGGTGCCGTGGATGGCAGCTGGATCAGGACCTGCTCAGGGTTACCCGTCGTGTCCACCACGCACAGGTGTGGGAGGCCCAGGAAGGCCTCAGGCGCAATGCTGGTCATGTGCAGCCTGTTGGCCCTGAACCAAGAGGCAAGCATGAGGGCAGGTGCAAGGGAAGGGGCCATAACCACCCTGACCCCCTGGGCCTACTGAGGTCCCCACAGCCCACCATGGCCCTCCCTGCCCATGTGGACCTGCCCGGCTGCCCTGAGGGCACCTGAGGAAGAGGGCGCGCAGGCTGGGTGTGCTGAGGAAGGCTTCGGGGCCCACATGGCTGATGCGGTTGCTCTGCAGGTGCAGCTCCTCAAGGGCCTCGGGCAGGTCGGGAGGCACGAAGGACAGCTGGTTGTGGCTGAGGTCCAGCACCTGGGCAGGTGGGCAGAGATGCCCCATGATGGCTCTAGGCCCTGGGTCAACTGCTCAGCTAAGCCCCAAACCACTCTCCTCCCAAGCCCTTCTCCCCTGCATGCCCAGTCCAGTCCTGCCCCTTCTCCTGGCCCTTTTCAAGGCTGCTGAAATCCTCCCCTTGGCAGAGGTAAACTGAGTCCTTTCTGGGGCAGGCCCTGCTATAGATGCTAGGGGCACAGACAAGTTCCCACCTACTGTGGGAGACACTGATTCAATTAGCCATTCATGGAGATGGCACTTAATCCACATTCTCATGCCCTTCTAACACTGTCGTTTACTTATGTTTGTTATTGATTGCTTTCTCTCTAGGCAGGGCGTTTATGCCAGGGCCAGGAGCTGTGTCACTGTGGCCCCCCTAGAACAGTGCCTGACACCCACAGATGCTTTAAACTCTGGGATTAATAGTGGTGAAGAGCTAGAGGCCACAGTGTTTACTGAGGCGGTGGAGGGGGTGTCTCAGAGGACCAGGGGGCAGGGACAGCACAGCCAAAGGCCTGGAAGCTGAATCTGTCTTATCTACCCCAGGGCTAGCCCCCCATGGAGGGCTCTTTTTGTGGTATCATCCAAGGGCCTTGTGGAGGAGGACCTGGGCTAGCAGGGGATGGAAGGGCCATGGGGACAGTGTGGCTAACCAGCCAACCTCTGACCTGGAGGGCCTGCAGCTCATGCCAGGTGCCGGGCTCAATGTCGCCCACTCGGAGTCGGTTATGTGCCAGGCTGAGCTCTCGCAGCTGGTCCAGGCCGGCCAGCGGCTCGGGCTCTAGGGCCCGCAACTGGTTGCGCTGCATCCGCAGGGTGTGCAGGCCAGTGGGTAGACCAGAGGGCACCCGAGTCAGCTGGTTGCCGGCCAGGTCAAGGCTGCGTAGGGCACGCAGCCGGCGGAAGGCCCGATGGTGCACGCGGGCACTGACCAGGTGGTTGTAGGCCAGGTTGAGCTCGGCCAGGCGTGGTGTGGCTGCCAAGTCTCGGGCACCCAGTGCAGCCACACGGTTGTGGGGCAGCACCAGGGACCGCAGGCGGCGGGGCAGCGCCAGGGGCACACGCTCCAGCCTGTTCCCATAGACATGCAGCGTGTGCAGGCCCCGCAGAGGCCGCAGCGCCCCTGCCGGCAGCCCCGCTGCCCCCAGCCGGTTGTGCTGAAGCAGCAGGTAGCGCAATCCCCGTGCCCCACGAAGCCGGGCTGCCTCCACCTGCTGGATGCGGTTCCGGCCCAGGTGCAGCACGGTCAGGGTGTGAGGCAGGCCGGCAGGCACCGCGGCCAGCTGATTGTGGGACAGGTCCAGGTACTCGAGGCGGTGCAGTTTGCTGGTGGGAGAGGGGACTGGCGTCGGTCTGGGCGCCCGGCCTCGTGGACCAGGTGATCTTGGGTGGAGGGCAGAAGGGCTGACGAGTGGTACTGAGATGTCAGCTGGAAATTCCAACTTTGGGGTGGTGAGTTGAGAGATCTGGGTGGGAGGTAAACTTGGGGTGATCAAGGCAGGTTCTGGCCTGAGGGTTAGAGGTGGGGATGACCAGGACGGAATTCTGGGTCCAGATCTGCATGTGACAGCTGTGATGTTGGATAACAAGATGGGAGCACAAGGTAGTTGGTAGTGAGGGTGGCTGCCCGGTGCTGGGCCGAGCTGGCGCACAGTGAGTGCTCACTAATGAGGCCGTGGGGTAGGCGTGATGCACAGGAGAGGACAGAGGGTGGCGGCCCCAGGCTCTGAATCCTCAGCCCCTACTCCCAGCACAAAGCTGTACCCCATCCCACCTGTCCCAAGCCCCACCTGAAGGTGGTGGCATCCAGGCCACTGTCTGTCAGCTGGTTATGTTGGAGGTAGAGCTCACGGAGGTGGGTCTGGCGGCTCAGGGCTCCTCGGGGTACCTTGGAGATGAGGTTGTTCTGGGAAGGGAGGAGAGAATGAAGCGCAGGGTCCGGAATAGAGGGCAGTGGAGAGCCACAGCAGGCTCTTGAGTAAGGGAGTGATAGAGGAGGAGCTGACTAGCAAGGCTGCTCAGAGCACTGTGACCCACTTGTGCCAGTGGTGGAGACTCAGAGAAAGATATTGCTGACAGCTGGAATTTTAAGGGGACAGAGGGGCCTTCCAGGAGAGAGGTAGGGGGGAGGTAAAGTGAAGGAGGGGCACCTGCAGGTGGAGCCGCTCCAGAGAGGGTGGCAGGCTGGGCGGCAGGTAGCTGAGCCGGTTGTTGGAGAGGCTAAGGGTGGTGACAGCCTCAGAGCCGTGGAAGGCATCGGGGGGCAGGCCGGCGTTGCTCAGGTGGTTGTTGTGGAGGTACACAGACCTGAGGGGAGCCAGGCTGTGGCCACCGGCTGCCCCCAGGCTCCCCACCACTCCCCTCTGCACCCCAGTTCAGGGCTGCCTTCAGTGTGTGTGTGAGAGAGAGAGAGAGTGTGTGTGTGTGTGTGTGTGTGTGTGTGTGTGTGTGTGTGTTTCTCCAGACAGAGCATCCAGGGTCCTGTCTCCCCCAGACCCCCCACGGCAGGCTCATGACCTCCCTCAGACCCAGGGGAGGGGTGGCCTAGGCATGCCTGAGGCCTGGAGGGCCCGAGATGGGCCAGGGGCTACCTGAGCGCCGGCTTCTCCCCAAAGGTGAGTGGGAAGATCTCCGTCACTTGGTTGGCAGCCAGATCCGCTACTCGGAGGGAACGAGGCAGAAACTGGGGGGCCACCGAGAGCTGTGGGAGCACAGTGTGCTGGTCCTGGTAGCACCTTCCAGCCCCTGCTGTTCCCTCTCTGCACTCTGCTGTGTGACTGGCTGGGGTGGGGTGGGGAGTTGGGTGGGGAGCTCACCTTGTTGTGGGCCACGTAGAAATGCTGCAGCTGGGTGAGGGACTCAAAGGCCTCATCGGGCAGGCCTGGGAGCGGAGTGGGTATTGAGAGGACCCCAGGCCTGGGAGGGGGTAGGGGGCAGGGGGAGTCTGTGCTCCCAGCTGCCCCAGGGCTCCTGGCCTGGGACTGGCAGAGGCTCCTCCAGGCACCCCCTCCCAGTCCACAAAAG